GGAGTTGGACTCGGTCGAACAGACAGCACGCCTCACGCAGGAACGTGCTCAGTTGGTGTTGAACTGCTTGAATACATTCAAGAGCAGGATAGCGGTCCCACTGAAACTCCTGGGGCATATGGCAGCTGCGGCGGCAGTCACGCCACTGGAGCTGCTCCATATGAGAACGCTGCAGCACTGGCTCCATGGCCGAGTACCAAGGTGGGCGTGGCAACGCAGCACTTTCCGGGTTCAAGTTATACCGGCCTGCCGCCAAACCTTCACCCCGTGGTCAGACCTTGTGTTTCTCCGGGCAGGAGTGCCCCTAGAGCAGGTCTCCAGGCATGCTGTGGTTTGCACGGATGCCTCAACCACCGGCTTGGGGGCCACGTACAATGGGCTTGCAGTGTCAGGGGTTTGGACGGGGCCCCAACTGCACTGGCGTAAACTGCCTCGAGTTTCTGGCAGAGCCCCTTGCCCTGAGCCGTCTCAAAGGGTGCTTACGAGGCAAGCATGTACTAGTCCGCACGGACAACACAGTGACCGTTGCGTACATCAACCGACAAGGTGGTCTGCGCTCCCATCGCATGTCGCAACTCGCCCGCCACCTCCTCCTCTGGAGTCAGAAGCATCTGAGGTCGCTTCGTGCTGTTTCGAGCTGCACTCCCGGGAGAATGGCAACTCCATCCCCAGACTGTCCAGCTGGTTTGGAGACGTTTCAGAGCCACTCAGGTAGACCTGTTTGCCTCTCCAGAAACCTCTCACTGCCAGTTGTTCTTCTCCCTGGCCGAGGGAACACTCAACTGGCACACAGCTGGCCGCGGGGCCTTCGCAAGTATGCGCTTCCCCAGTGAGCCTTCTTGCACAGTTGCCGTGCAAGGTCAGGGAGGACGAGGAGCAGGTCCGGTTGGTGGCACACTATTGGCCTACTGTCGACAGCCCTTCCTTGGCCGATTCCTCTGAGGATGGATCTACTGACTCAGAGATGGGGCACCCGCATCCAGACCTCTGGAAACTTCATGTCTGGTCCCTGGGCGGGACGCGGAGGTTCTAAGTCACCTACCTCAAGAGGTAGTTGACACCATCACTTCAGCGAGAGCACCGTCTACGAGACACGCCTATGCTTTGAAGTGGAACCTAGTCGATGAGTGGTGTTCTTCTCACCGAGAAGACCCCCGAATATGCCCGATCAGAGTCGTGCTGTCCTTTTTGCAGCAAGGTTTGGAGCTGCAATCGCGGCTAACCAAATAGGCGACCCCGTATAAGGGAGGTCGCTGGGGAAGCATGACCTGGTCGTCAGGTTCCTTAAGGGGGCGAGAAGGCTAAATCCTCCACGGCCCCCCTCTATAGCCTCTTGGGACCAGACTCTAGTGTTCACAGCACTACAGCAGGGCCCATTTGAGTCTTTGCAGACGGTCAAGCAGAAATTTTTTTCGATGAAGACTTTGCTTCTGCTGGCATTGGCCTCCATCAAGAGGGTAGGGGACCTGCACGCATTTTCGGTCAACGATTCATGCCTAGAGTTCGGGCCGGCTGACCCCCAGGGAGCCCTGAGGCCCCGGCCCGGCTATGTGCCCAAGGTTCCCGCTACTCCCTTCAGGGATCAGGTGGTGAACCTCCAAGCGCTGCCCTCGGAGGAGGCAGACCCAGCCCTAGCTTTGCTCTGTCCCGTCCGAGCCTTATGGTGCTACGTAGACCGGACACAAATCTTTAGGACCTCAGACCAGCTCTTTGTCTGTCACGGAGGCCGGCAGAAGGGGAATGGCGTCTCTAAGCAGAGGATGGCCCACTGTATAGTGGATGCCATCACCCTGGCTTATCAGGCACAGGGTGTGCCCTGCCCGTTCAGGTTGC